CCCCCCCCCCCCCCCCCCCCCGTACACACATACATGCACATATCTAAATAGAACAAACAAACAAACAAACAAACAAACAACACTCTATCCCACAAACGAATAGATAAATAAATAAACCAGTAAACAGCAACAAACAGCCATTACTTTAGTCATTTCATCATTTCTCTGCCCGTTACCTGTTTTCTGTCATCTTCTTCATAGTTGATGGTTGTCACTGATCGTTAATAATTGTTTCCTTTAATCTGTCCGTCTTTTTGTCTGTCTGTCTGTCTGTCTGTCTGTCTGTCGGCGAACAGAACAATAAATTCTATCAAGTAAATGCTGTCGAGTATTAGCACTTTGAAAGATTATAATCTAAATAGCCTTTCCTAATTTCGTTACAAAATGTACCAATGTATAACGGAGAGGACAAAAACCCCCTGAAGCAAACCATAGTACATTGATAATTTTTAAAAAAGCAAGTGTTATTATTTTTTTCCTTCATTTCTCACATTCAAGAAGTTCACCACACCCGGTCTGTTGCAATTTTGTTCTCGCGACAAATTTCTATAGCCAAATTCGTATTCAGAATAAAGACCCAGTGGTTGTAACATATCGTATTTCTGTTTTGAGATTGGAAGGGGGATGTTGCACCCCTCTCAGCCCGGGTTGGTCCTGACAAACAGGGTTGGACGCCTGCCTCTAACGTGATCTAAATTGTGTCGAAGGGGGCGTACACCACCCACATAAAGGAAACAAATTGTGTTACAGAGGCTGATTGTTGCATACTGTCAATCTCCTCCGATGTATTATAGGAACAAAGCTTTATTTTACTTTGTACTTCATCATCCTCTGTTGCCGATACGCGTCAAGGTATTATGGTGTGCATAATATGTTTCAGCAACAAACAACCTTTACTTTAGTGATACTCTTTATATGTTGGTTAACCATGGTAAGCCAGTTCTGCAGCTCTTTCAATTGGGATGTTATAAAAATCTCAGGGTTTTCTTGACTCCATCAATCCATCTTTTGAATGGTCTGCCTCTTCCTTTATAATATGGTCAGTGTTTAGCTTATATCTACATGTTTATTTGTTATAAATTTATCACTTATTAACAGGGTCAGTTCCAGGCGATGAAGGACTGGTCCCGGCAGTTCGGTAGAGTCTTCGGCTACTTTGAGGGCTACACGCCTGTAATGGCGGTCAGTGACCCAGAAGTGCTTAGAGAAGTGCTGGTCAAGGATGCAGCCAACTTCATGAAGAGAAAAGTACGTTGTTTTGTACTATTGATCATCATCATCATCATCATCATCATCATCATCATCATCATCATCATCATCATCAACAACAACACCAACAACAACAACAACAACAACAACAACAACAACAAGAACAACAACAACAACAACACAAGTTTATCTCTGTATCTTTAAAGAATGTTTAAGTTACAGTGGTAAGCCATTTCTCCTGATTTCAACATGTCACAAACCGATAGCCAGTTTAAAGAGAGAACAGATTTCCCATGTAGTAAAGCTATTGACAAGACTCAAAAGTCAGCACGTTTTGTATACAAACCTCTCTATGAAAAGGTCATAATACTGACTAATGAAATTGTCTATGGAGTCTGTGGTGTAGCAGTTGAGGGCTTCGTCGTAGCACACAGGTTGGGTTCTATTCTTGTATGAGGAGAACTTTTAACAGCCGAAAACCCCAGCGGCTCCATAATCTTATTATGGAAAGTGTCGTATATATATATCGTTTTTCTCAAAGTGCATTTACTCTCGATATTAAGTCTGGAAAGATTGTGTCTCCTTCATACCTTTGTTTCCCCCTCCTTTTTTTTCTCTAAGTTTTGGATTTAAGTGCGTTTTGTTATATGACATATTCACATGTAAACACGACTGTGTAGAAAAGTATAGTAGTTTTTTTCTGCTTCCAGCCTTTCCCGTTGGCTCCTCGCAAGAGCCTGGGCCTCTTCCTCGAGAATGGGTCTCAGTGGCGCCGAAGTAGGACACTTCTCACTCCGGCCTTCAGCACTGGAAAACTCAAGAAGGTTTGTTGTAAAGGGCATAGACTTGTAATGTTATAATATTACCCTGGTCAATGTAATTTGATGTAATTCGGGTTCATCAGCGTACCATTTGCTTCTATTGCGAACCAAGGAAAGGAGGAAGAGTTTGTACGCGCTTTTGATTATTGCAAGGACGGTATTTTGTCATTCACGTGGACTCCCTTGATGCTCAGCAGCGTAGTTACGCTCTTATACATAGCAAAGAGCGGAGGCAATGCCAGTGCCCGATCTAGGATATTACAATTTAAGTCTTTGGTAAAAGGGTACAGCGGGTCAAGGTGTGTTTAGAGGGGGGTATTGTAAGCTTCAGCGGTTGTATCTATTTTTATTTGGAAATGCTTCACACCGCCATCGACGCTATTTAAATCACGTAGGTGGCAAATTGAATAGGAAAGTGCTCCAAGTGGCAAGATGTTAAAAATCCATAATCAGAACCACAAAAAAAGACAATTGAAATTCTTTGGCCACGTAAATAAATCAAATGGACTGAGAAACTGTTGCTGTGTGGAAAGATAGAGGGGAAAATGAGCAGAGGAAGACAAAGAACAACACACACAGATTACCTGAACAGCTTTGCATCGAATAAAAAAAAAGAGAGAAAAACCGAGCTGAACAAGGAAACAGACAACAGGAAGGGACGGGGTACCATGATCGTCAATGGCTGCTCCAGACACGACACCCGAAGAGGAGGAGGTGGCAAGTAGGAGAGGGTGGGGTGATTCGACGTGAATGTTAGATCCAATGTGAGCTGAGAGGGAACGAAGCATCCTAGCCGACAGACGGAGACCACTCGAAAGAAAACACTCTTCTCATTACTTGGGAATTGAACTTATGTCTTTTGCGAACAATGGCAAAGAAACTAACCTATACACTACAGACATTGGAGTCATTCAGTATGCTTATGTATGCCATGTATGGATGTCATGTTTGTTGTGTTATTGATTAGAAGGGTAAGGAGTGTTATGGCAGTTCATGATACCGTATCGTGTGGTGTGGCATGGTGTTCTGTGGTATGTGATATACATGTATCATGATATAATTATGGTTGGGTTTGGTGCTTTATAGGACATTTTGCATGTTATGATAAGACGTGAAGTGGTGTGGTATTGTGTGGATTCGATCTCTTTCAAAAATCCTACCCCCCCCCCCC